TTTCTGGAACTCCATTCTTCACAGGCAGTTATCCCTCACTTTTCTCTCAGTTTGGGTCCTCAGCCCTGATGTAAAAAATAATATTTAAGTGCAAAGAAATTCCCCAAGAAACAAATACTCAGACTGGTAAGAAGGCTACTAAGAGTTAGAACTGGAGCCTCAAGCAGATCCTTTGCAAAGCTCGGTGTTAAAAGGCGAAGTGAAGGCTACTGTCCCACTCAGCAGAAAAAGGAATGACAAGAATAGAGACTGAGGTGCCTGTACTGCCATCTTGGGTGTGATCTTCCAGTTGCCATCAAGTCTACTCCGACTCATGTCGACCCAGTTTGTGTCAGAGTAGAACCGTGCTCCACAGGGGTTTCAATGACTGATTTTTCTACAGTAGATCGCCAGGCTTTTCTTCTGTGACACGTCTGGGTGGACGAAAACCTCCAAACTTTTCAGCTAGCAGCCAAGCACATTAACCTTTTGCACCACCCAGGGACTCCATGGATGTAACAGGGAGTGCGATTTACTCCAAATCAGAGCTGCAGAAAGGAAGTCTCACAAGCACTCAGCACTTACACACACACACACACACACTTTCATTAACTTCCCATGATAATGCCACCCCATGGAGGTAACCCCAAGACTAAAATCCTAGGTTTTGTTTCTGTCCCTAAACTCTACTTATTGGTTGGTTGGGGGGATGGGGAGAAAGAGGGAGGCTTGGTTTAACCAGATTATAAGGAACATAGTACCAAATGTAAAGAAAACCTTACAAATTACTGACCAGGGTTGGAGGAAGACTTTTTTTCCCTCTCACTCTAAAAATTGACACACTGAAACAGTCACAATTCTACCCAAAGCTCAGTTTTAGTATTACCAAACCTAAACTCAGAGAAGGCTCTGCTCCTGAAGTGTCACTCCTGACACCTAGAGAAATACAATGTCATTCAGTCAGCAGACTTAAGAGATATGGGGGTTTTCAGTATATGAAGAAATAACATTGTGGATCATAACAGTAGTTTCATTCCCCCTCCCACCCCCACCTTCTCAAAAGCACTTTGCTGATAATCACATTAATCCTTGTAATTTCCATGACAATAGACCCAGATCAGTGTTTTGTGAGTAAGGATGGGTGGGTAGGGCAAGATCTCCTTGGGATCGTGGGAAAAAGTAACTGCAGAGTTCTGAACCCTGAGTTGGCTGTGGAGAGGGCAGCAACTCCAAGTTACTTGAAAGGGGTGCCTTGCCTCCTTTCTATTTGGGGCACCTCTCCCAGCGTATCTCTCTTCTCTCTCCACCCCGCCCCCCTCACCAAGAAGATAAACTGTAGGCTTTTAAAGGAATTTGGAAAGTGACATACATCATAGCCAGTGGTTGGAGTCCCAAGAATGTGGCAGAGAATCAAGAAATAAAAAAGCTTAAGAAATTTTGGATGTGATTATAAAGTTTTTGTTAGCCGCCATCGAGTCAGCCCCCGACTCATGGTGACCTCGTGTACAATGGAACGAAACACTGCCTGGTGTAATCCATAGAGTTTTCATTGGCTGATACTCAGAAGTAGATGGCCAGGTCTTTCTTCCTAGTCTTAGTCTGGAAGCTCCGCGGAAACCTGTTCAGCAACGTAGCAACTCGCAAACCTCCCTTGACAGGTGGTAGCTGCCCATGAGGTGCATTGACCAGGAATCAAACCCAGCTCTCCCACATACAAGTCAAGAATTCTACCATAATTTTAAAAAGCCACTCATTGAATTTTAGTCACATGCCTTATTTTATATCAAAATACCTGTCAGCAAATTTGATACTCCTCCCTATACACCTACATCATCTCAAAATGACTTCACAGTTAAAACAAAAACAATCTTTGCTCAAAGGATGATAACCCATAGCCCATTGCCATCAAGTTAATTCCAACTCATATGGGTGCCAATAACACTATTCAGAGAGGTATTTCAGAGGTTCCTCAATTATTTCAACCAAAGAAGTTCCAATGACTCCCTGGGCATAGGCAGCATCTTTGGAAAAAGGACATCACTAAAAGAATGGCACGAGTCCCTGGGTGGCAAACAGTTAACAGGCTCAGCTGCTAACTGGTTGGAGGTTTGAACCCACCCAGGGGTGCCTCTGAAGAAAGACCTGGTGATCTACTTCCAAAGAATCGGCCATTGAAAACTATATGGAACATAGTTCTTACTCTGACATACACGGGGTCGCCATGAGTCTGAACTGACTCCACAGCAACTGGTTAGGTCATTTAGGTTTAAAAAAATGGTAACCCTTCTACAAGGAATCAGACTCATTTGGAGGCAAAAGTTCAGTTTGTTAGTAGGGGTGCGGTTTCTCTTTGGGAGGGAGGATGGGATTTGTTTTATAGAAGGGGTGCAGAGGACAATAACAGAAATCTCTATGGTTACAATGGGTATAGTGTTCATTTTTCAGAGACATCGGTTTTCTGCTATCACACTGAATGGGCTAGATTCAACTTGGAAAATTCTGGACTTTATTTAGTTGGGGCACAGGTAAGTGAACGATCTTCAGTTGTAACGTAAAGCTACCGTTGACAATAAGGTAAGATATTTGCAGGAGGTTTACATACACATTATTCTCAAGGAAGATGTCCTGCTGGTCCTAATTTTCATTACTCCATTCCCTTTGGAATTAAGTGTTCTATACCTCTTTGTGGAGCCCTGGTGGCATAGTGGTCAAGCGTTCGGCCGCTAACCAAAAGGTTAGCAGTTCGAATCCACCAGCTGCTCCTTGGAAACACTATGGGGCAGTTCTACACTGTCCTAAAGGGTCGCTATGAGTTGGAATCAACTCGACAGCAAGGGGTTTGGCGCCCTGGTGGCACAGTAGTTATGAGCTTGGCTGCTAATCGAAAGGTCAGCAGTTCGAATCCAGCAGCCACTCCTTGGAAACCCTATGGGACAGTTCAACTCTGTCCTATAGGTTGCTATGAGTTGGACTCAACTCAACTGCAACAGATTTTTTTTTTTAATGGGTTGTAAATAGAAGTATTATGTATGTTGGATTCCAACTGTTGGGAGATAATTTTCCATGGGTCTCTTGCATTTCTGCGCCCCTTGGGAGCAGAGACACTGACAGCTTTTGTTCCAGACTATCTTCTCAAGGATGTCTGGATAGCAAAAGGCCTTAAAAAACAGAGACAATGCCTCCCTCCCAGGCAGAGGGCAGATTTGTTTGCTGCCCAGAACAATAAAGGCTGGGCATGTTTGTTTGCAGACCCTTTAAAAGATTAGGTTTCCTAGGCTTGGGGTTCCTCAGCTATGGTGCAAACCCACTGTATGTACAGCAACCAGCCGGGCTGCTCCCACACCTGTTCCCCCATGGAACTTTGGGGAACAGATAAGTACAGCTCACATGCCCTGCTGTGCCTCCAACCTGGGAGTCTCCTGTTTTCTGCCAACATCCATGACACTGTGGCAGGTTAACTTGTTAGCTTGCATGAAGAGTAAAAATCTCAAAGATTTCACAGCTCTTAACACCACCACCCATCCAAAAAAATTCAAACTTTGTAGAATAAAAAGATTTCTGCATCTTACCTGACTGCCCACCTCTCTCAAGCAATTCAAGTAAAATGAATAAATATGAATTGTCTTCTAGAGTTTGTTGCAAAGGGTCTTCATTCTTCCAGCCAGAAAACCTATAAGTAAACTTAATCTATTAAAGGACACATGTAAGAAAGATAAAGGTTAGGGTGGAATACAAAGGATTAAAGGGGAAGAAGGTAATCCTAGAAGGTGGAGATAGAAATGCATTACATAGCATTTCTTTAATCTAGGTTCTTAGTCCCACAAAAGGGCACTCATATTTATTGCTTTTCATAGGTATTGTACCTTCAAAGTAAACCATTCTTTTGCTGAAGAAAATTACAGCCCTGTCGCCCTCTACTGGAGCCAGGCTGGAAACTACAGGGAAATAGTTGAAGTTGCTCTTTATGGAATCAGCTCCCACCTATGTGGTGTCCATTGCTGCCATTGTCCAGTGTAAACCTTGGGTGTTCAGAAAGGTAAGAGGAGCACAACTCCCTTTGCAAACCCAGCCTAACAGTTCAATGCTGAACACAGGGCAGTGCTTTCTTAAGTGCTCAAAAGACAGTGGAGTCCTTTCCACACTGATCTATAATTTATGGCAGCCACTGACTGCAGGGACCACTAACAGCTGCAGCCCTTGCGTAAAGTGCCAGCAAGTCACCACCAGCACCTCTGCCCTCACGGGCCCACTCCCTTCCACGTCAACAGCTACTCAGGGCAGCTGCTTAGAACCTTCCCCTATTTATCAACCCGTCCACCAAACCTACTTGGCTCTATCTCAAAAAGAATCACTTTCCTCCTGGGAACTATTGTAGGGCTAGACACAGTAAACACCAACAGTTTCAATCCCAACAAAGCACACCACTTTGTGATCTCAATATCACAAAGCACTGGTGTCCAAATATTTTGATCACACACCCAAATCAGAAAAAATATATATAATGCACCAATAAATGTATTTATTTATAAATTATACGTGTACAATTGTACAATATATTATGTACATTATAAAACACACAAAAATAGAAATTTAAAAGGATGCGATTAAATACAAATAACCTTTTTAACATTCTCCCAGTGGATTGATCATCTGTGTACACCTGGGATATATACACCCCTGCCTGAAGCCGCTGCCCTAAAGTGTGTTGATGATTACTATATTTGGATTTTTAGCTCAGGTTACAGAAAAATGTACAAGGTCACAGCATTTTTTTTTCCTTTCAGTTTTATCAAATAGCCCTAGCATCAAGTTTATATGTGTGACGATGCCTGATGCTAACGCCTTGAGACATACTTGAACTAATCACTACACAGCTGGTAAATGTCACATCACGGTTCACTGATAGTTGTTACACTTTAAGGCAGACTAAACGGGATTTCATGGAGTTGAGGCAGAATATTTGGGGAAAACATGCTTTAAAGAAACATTTAAAAACAAAGGATGAGGACTGGCGTATTAAAAAAAAAAAAAAAAAGCCAACAAATTAAATAGCTAGCACCTAAAGAAAAAAAAAAGATAATTCCTCTGTCTACAGTGGAAAGACAAAAGGCATTCCAAACAATGACCATTAGCTAAGGCAAATGGTTTAAATGGATTGCCATATCTTCCTGCCCTAATACCACAGTGAGTCCTTACAAACACGAACTCTTTTTTATAGCCCCAGTATCCAAGCAGAGCCAGGCACATAGAAACTCAGTATGTGATGAATGATGAACAACTCCTCAAAAAACATCCAAGGTGCTGAATTACGTTTGAAATAAGAATTTTGACTCAAGAAAACTCCAGTATCTGGTTTTGATTAGCTGAAGCAAATAACTAGATAAATGTGGCCAGAGAGCCTCCTTACATTCCTCAAACACACCCCTTTTCCATTTCTACATCAGTCCTTTGGTACCCACCCCCTCTACATCTACCCGCAGCCTGAGCCTCCCCCACTCAGGGGGCTTGCCCTTCTCCACCCTCAGTGCAAGCTGGGAGCAGTAAAGTGGAGTACAAGGTATTTATGATTCTATACATAGGGCCTTATTCAATGTGCTCCTTAATTTTTTAAAAAAATACACAAAAATTTAAAAGAAAGGACACAAACATATGACTGAGATTGAGATATACATGTGGAAAACACGCTGCAGCCTCAATCATCAAGTTTTAGAATAGTCAAGTTTAGAACTACTGTACTTTCAATTGTGGTAACTAAGTCTCCTTATGGAAAACTATTTTTTGTCTTAATAGGTACTTCACCAATTTAAAGAGGTAAAAATATTACACAACTTAAGTAACTTAATTTCGTAAACAGCCAGTTTCACTTTGTATACACACAATGAGTGTTTTTAACTATATGCTTGCTCATCCCTCCTGTTGACAAAATTTCAGTTTCTTAATGAGAACAAAACTGAAACTTCCCTCAGTAAGAGTTCCCATTAGATTAAAAGCAAACCAGGGTAAATTATTACATCTCATTCCGGAGAAAGAAAGAAGGGATGCAGAGTTCAATGACTTGCTAGAGAGATGAGAACCATAAACTGAGGGCTCAGTCCTTCCCTTAACGCAATATGGAAGAGGTACGTAAAATACTCATTAGAGGACAATTTATTTTACTTGGTTGGGAGTACACACACACCCTACCAAGGGCAAAGGACACCAGGATTGGCAGAGGTAGCAATTTTCTAACGTCTAGGTAATACTGTTTTTTAAGCACTGTGGTGAGTTTATTATGTTGTGAAGTCATCCTTTCCAGTGAGTCTTAAAAACCAAAAGTAGTCAGTTGCTTGGAGGAACTTGTAAAGCCTCTTTGAAACAAAATACCCACTGAGAAAAGAAATACTCTTCTTGAAAAGTACCTATCAAGAAAACTAGGAATCATGTGTACTACACATTGTTTAAGGGAAATTTTTAACACTTTGCTTGACTTTATGCCACAGATGTGTTTTCTCTGACCTCTCACTTCACTTGGCGCAACAAGGCTGCCTCTCTTTCACCATACTTATGTGACCAGCAGATGCCTCGATGTACACTGCAGCTTCACAGCAAAAACTTGCCTCTAAAATTAAACCCATCCTCTCCTTGTAAAATGAAGCAAATGAAACAAATCCTCAGTGACACAGCCTCCTGCTTGCCAAGAAAGGGTTTCACTCACAACTTTAAAAAGAAAAGCAAGTGATCTCAAGTTTCCAGTGAAAGAACTGCTTTGACCATTTGATAGGAATTACTGCATCCTAAATTTAGAACCAAAAAGCTATTCATGTTTTGGTAATTTTTTTTTTCCCCCAGAGGATTTCTCATGTTTTGGTAATTTTCAAATTTTGTTTCCAATTACTGCAGTGACAAAATACCAATGGTTATTTTGCACGTAAATTATCAACATTTTATGTAAACAAGGTCACAAATTAGTATCCCAACAGTACTTTGGCCTATGGAGATTCTGATAGGAGGGGATTATCACAATCAGTCCTATAATATTACTTATGCTTCCTCACTATCTAGCAATAAAAATATTCACCTTGCCTCAATGATTCATCATGTACACATTTCTACTCTTTAGAAACACTATCCTTCCAGGTTGCACTGTGGTTAGTGGACTCCTTCCCCCTTGTAGGTTTTTCAGTGCTATACAGAAACAGCAGTCACTCTAGCAGTAATATACAAGGTTACTAAATTTTTAGTTGAAAAATAAAAGAATGAATTGCCCTATTTAAGTCCTTTCTCTGGGAGTAAAAAGACACACACCATTACAAACATAAAATGAGTCAAACTTCTATTTTATTGACAGGAGTCCAAAATGAATACAAAAAACGCCTCCTTTGCATGTTCTGTTTCCCTTAAAAGGCTTCTGATTGAGTCAGGTAGATTAAAAGCTAAGAATGTATTTCAGCTTTTATAGTGAATCTTTTTAAAAAGGTTTAATAACATAAGTCACCAACATTCAGAGAACACATAGTCCTATAATCATTTTTAGACCAACAGCCTATCAAAAGAATTAGACCCTGCACTGGTCTGCTAAAATAGAGGCTTAAAAATGTTTTAAGCCATTTTTATAATCTGTGTGATAACTCTGGGCAATTAAGAAAAGGAAAATACCAAAATGTAGCCCTCTATGTTATGTGGAATGTGAGAGAATACCAACTTATGACCGAGATAGGTAAAAATAAAAGGTTTAAAGCCATGGATGGAGCTGTTATAAACATTCTTGTATCACTGCAAATGTCAGTAAATGAATAATAGAGCTTATCAAGAGGTTGAAAACTTGAGCAGATATTACTTAAAACTCAACTGTGGTGTTTATCATACTTTACTGTTTGCTAAAACTAAAGCTGAATGAAGAGAAGTTGCTTCTTTATAAATTGTTTTTCATGTACCTTTACTTTTACTGGGACCATAAACTGATCAGATAATACATAGCCCACACTTCTGGATGGTTATAACAAAGGATTTATTATCGTTTGCAGATGAAATAAATGCACCATCCCATACTTGAAAGGCTTTAATAAGCCTTAAGCATTTTTCAGGTTGTACCAAGGCACCACCACCGCCTAGTTATATTATGCATCCATTTCTAATTTCTAGTGAAGAAACTAATACCTTCCTCAACATCAGTTCTGCACTGCTTCTGGTTTATTATACACTTCCAAAACAGCAAAAATTTGCAAATATGTGCAAATATTGTGGTCCATTCATAGTATGCTTAGTCATCATCTTCCTCTTCCTCTTCCTCTTCCTCAAAGCTATCTTCAAAGCCCTCGCTGTCCTCCTGGTCTTCATCTCCCTCTATTGCTGTATCCCACTGTGGGTGATTTTCTGGCACAGGTTTAGCCTCATGAACTTCCAACTATAAAGAAGGATTAAATTTAGGCATCAGAAATTTGGGGAGGAATAATGGAAGAAATACCTGGTAAATAAAAGGTTTTCTTTGACCACAATTACAAAGACATAGATTTTATGGATGCAACTCTAATACATTCATTTGGAATAGACATTGCACCCCAGAAATGTAGCAGGTAAATATACTAACATGTAAATGTAGTTAAATTTCTAATACAGTTTGATATTTAGATTTTATAGAAGTTATGCTATTTAAGAATATACTGTGGCACAGAAGCATTAATTACTGTGATTACTGAGCAAGAACACTGTGTGATATCTTTTGCTGAGGGAAGAAAAACTCAAGTGGAACTTTCAGAGAGATATGCACCCTCCAGATCCATGAAGTAAAACTCTATAGCCAGAAATGAACAGAAATGTCATATCCTCATGGGAAAAAAAAGAGGCTTGCGTTTACTGGCTCCCTTTACTCTGTCCAGGACTCCAGTATATAGTGCAACAAGACTTTAGCTCAATCTTTGCAGCATATTAAAAAAAACATGCTCTGCAGCATAACTGAAAAATTCACTGATATGAAAAGTTCAAGGTAAAATAGTAAATACTGATGGGTATGTGCTACAAATGACAAGAATGTGTATGTGCTAACATAAAAAAAACAAATTAATTCCAGAAATTAATAAATATTCCAATAGAATCTGTAGGAAAAATACATGTGCTTTTCTAAAGCAAACAGAATTCATTTGCTGAGACCCTGTAAACTTACAGCATATTACAGCACATTAAAATATATTATTTAAGTAATTTCTATTCCAAGGCTCTAAATCACTACACTCCTTAAACTCTAACTCAAAAGCTTAAGTTTATTATTAAAAGAGTAGCCCATCAAGTGTGTCCTTTATAAAATATTAAATGATCTCTTTTTTCCTTCTCCTATTACTCTACGTTTCAAAACTAGAGATGCTTCCCTAGTATACTTGATGTCGAATTGATTCCGACTCACAGCAACCTTACAGAACTGCCCCATAAGGTTTCCAAGGAGCAGCTGGTGGATTTGAACTGCTGACCTTTCCAGGGCTCCAAAGTACAGTAAGCACTTATTCAAATAGACAATCATATTTATTGAAGAGTCTCTATTCTTACCTTCAATGGCTTAATCTGATCCAAACCCATATAGGAGTCTGATCTCAGAAACACCGTATACTGATAATTTCCAGGCTTGCCTGGTGCAGGGAACTTCAATTCTACCTAGAAGATAAAATCAGCACTTGATCTATATTTTAAGGAAACAAAAGGAGAAAATAATAGCTCACTCCTAAAATTCTAAGACCAAATTATTTAATAGCTAGGTGTTTAATGAGATGATATAGGGAGTCCTAATAAATGTTACAAAAGTCATAACCCTCCCCTCAAAAAAAAAATCGAAGTATATAAAAGTCTAAATAAATGAAACATTGCAATTAATAAACAGTAGACTTCACAAGACAGAAGATAATTCTTGCTAAATTTTCTTATTTCTAGGATAAGCCCAATGCCTTAAAAGGTCAAGAAGGTATTTTATCTCCCATCAAATCATAAACTTCAAATATAAAGAGTAACAAACTCTTAGGAGATTCCTCTTGATAGAATCTCACTTGGACAAAGGAAGAACAGATGTAGAAAAATGACATGTGGATGGTTCTGGTGACCTGCCTCCAATCTCCAAATTCAGATTTTGTAGTGAAGATTATATATTAATATATGACATTAAAAAAAAAACTAGAAGAAATCATGGGAAAATCTTTTTTAAAAAAATAATCTCATAGTTTGGCCTTTCTAATTATGACACAAAACCTAGAAGCCATAAAAGATTACTAAACCACACTACATAAAATAGACAAGTGAATATTTATACTTCTGACTTGTTAAAGCCACCATAATAATAGTAAAATAAATTGGAGAGAAATATTTGCAACTTGCATCACAAAGGGCTGATTTCCTAATACGAGAACATTTGTCTACAAACTGACAAAAAAGAACAATGGTCAAGTACAGACAGAAAAAGAAATACAACTCAGACACACTGAAAGATGTTCAGCTTCACTCTGAAGAGAAATATAAAATTAAAACTACACTGAATACGACTAGCACAGTAAAAAATTGATTCAGGTAAGAATGTATGCTAACATGAATAGGTTAAGACTACTGGAGAACAGGATATTCACAGTGCTCAAATATCATCCCACAGATTAGAGAGGAAAAATATCTTTACAATATATAAAAGCCTTAACTAAATGATCAACCTTAACATCACCAGTGTAGGACAAACTGATAACATGTACCCCTGATGTGTTACACTAAGAAAGATTTATCACCTATGTAGTATTCTTGCCCCAATATTTAAGATAAATATAATCACGAGTACCTCAACAATGAGACAAATTCAAACTGAGGGATATTCTAATAAAATACCTTGCCTGGACTCTTCAAAAATGGCAATGACATGGAAGATTAAAAAAGAAAAGGGCCAAGGAAGTGTTCTAGACTAAAGGGACATGACAACCAATTGCAATGTATGACCCTTGACTGGATCCTGAATTTAAAAAAAATTAAAACATACATGAGTGCAATATTTGGGGAAATTTGAAGATGGACTGTATATTAGATAATAATACAACTGTTAAATTTCCTGAGTACAATAATTATATTGTGCTTATGTAGGAGAAGACCCTTGGATAGGAGACACACGCTCAAGTACTTAGAGGTATAATGTCGTAACGTCTACAAGTACCTCAAACGGTTCGGAGGAAAACTGTGTGTGTGTGTGTCTGTGTGTGTGTGTGTGTCTGTGTGTCTGTGTCTGTGTGTGTCTGTGTGTGTGTCTGTGTGTCTGTGTGTGTCTGTGTGTGTGTGTGTGTACATATATATAGAGAGAGAGAGACAAAACAAACACGGCAAAATGTTAACAATTGGTGAATCTAGGTGAAGGGTATATGGGTTCATGGTACTGTGCTTACCATTTCTCTATAGGTTTGAAAAATTTTTAAATAAAAGATCAGAAGGAGAAACTTACACTGAGAAACTATTTTTCACCCTTCTGATTAGCAATGACATTCAAATGTCTGACAACACACTAAGAGGCAACAAGTATACTTAGACATTCATTCCCTCTGTGGAGAAATACCTAGCAATATCTATCAAAACTACAGATGTACACAGCCTCTGACCTACCAATTCTATCTCTATGAATTTATCCTACAGGTATGTTTGCAATGCACAAATGACATGCCTGCTTATTCACTGCAGCAAAAGACCAGAACAACTTGGCCAATCCACTAATAGGGGAGTATTAAATAAATATTAGTACATCCACACAAAAGAATATCATGCAAATAAGGAAGTTTTTTACCTACTAACATGGAACAAATTCCAAGTTATATTACTGAGAGAAAAAGTTAAGGTGCAGAACAGAGTATATGCTACCTTTTGTGTAAAATTGGGAAAAATACACATATGTAGTTGCTTGCAATCTGTATACAATATGAAGAATACACAAAAAGTTGAAAACATTTATGGTCTCTAGGAAGGCGAACAGGTGACTGAGACAATGTGCAAGATTTTTCACTGTATGCACTTAAGCATCTTCTGAAATTTTAAACAAGGTGAATGTATTACCTATTAAAAAATATCTAAATTTTAAATAAAATGAAATTACTGTCAAAGAAATATTCTTAAGATGGCTTTAAGTGTCAAATAAATAAACAACACTAAATTTCTTCATGTTTACCACTTGATTATAAAGGGAAAAAAACACACACACACAACTTCTCTGATTAAAAATAAATGTTATATAACTATCTTGAAATCCAAAAGCCTTGGCTTTGCCCACTGAGTCCAAACAGACAGAACCATCTCCCTAGGAAAGATAACACATTTAAAAAAAAGAAGAAGAAGAAAAAACAAAACAGAAAGCAATTCCCAAGGGTAAAATATGTTCATCACAAAATATGTCATTAATAGCGGACAATGCTGTGCAACCAAAAATTCCACTGAAAAAAGTCAAAATCACCAGTTCTTAGATATTTTTCTAAGACAAATAGTATAATACCTAGCACTACTCCAGTGAGGAGAAAAATCATCAACTGTTTGCAAATTATCACTAAATTCCAGAGAGGAGGAGAAAAGGTACATGTTCTTAGGCACTAACAAGTGAAAACTCCCCAAAATACATGGAGACCAAGTCACCTACCTTTGACAAATCAATACTTTATAAATTTCCAAGAAGCCCCCCACAAAAAAATTAGAGAACAGTTATAAAATATCCTAACAAATAAAATGCAATCAACCAAATATGGGAAAGATTTTACAAAGCATCATGATGGTGAAATATTGTACATTTTTAAAAACAGAAATAATACTGTTGAGTAATTACCTCTTCGGTATCTTTTAGTGTACACACATGATATGGCATAGATATTAATGTCTGTTCCTTCCTGTCTGCAATATAAAGCCACCACCATTCTTGTTTTTCCTGGGAAGAAAAAATTAAAAGAAAAAAAAAAGAGAGAGAGACAGCATAAACAATCAGAAAGAACTGGAGAAACAGAGTTTTGGCTTGTCTTACTCTAAGGATACTATAAACATTGTTTAGTGCTACATGCCTAGCACTGACACACTATCCGATACAAAACAGTGTTCCATAAATACAGAGTAAATAAATCGTTCTTCACTGTCTGTAGATGTGCTCCCCAAAAGAACTTTGTACACAGTTTTAGGGGTTTCAATGGCCCCTTAAAACCTACTAATGGGTTTCCATATTAAAAACTCCTGATATACCTTAATTAAGTGCTAACAGATTCTAAAAAAGAAAACTATATAAACTATTAAAATATCATCTAGCAAATAATTTTAGTAATATTACCTAGTAATATGCAAAGCCAGAAAGTAGGAGTGGAGGGAACCGGAGCAGCCAAATCAGAAATCAAGACATTAAAACATTTTACTCATAAAAGAACATCTTAGATTCTAAGAGCCTATTTATATCTTTCACTGCACATGTATTAATAAGCTTAGCATTTCTAGTTTTAGTCCACGAGAGATCAGAAACAGAAAAAGAGCTGCATAAAAGAAATGCCACCAGAATACAGAATCACAACAGGGAGGAAAGACAGAACAAGAGACAAAAAACTATAGAAATAAAATAATAAATTAAAAATATATTTAGAAGGCCAAGCTGTCTGGAAGCACCAAACCTCAGTGTGCTCAGAGCCCACTGCTGGATTACAGCACGTGTCAGTAACTGTTTAGTGGTCTGTTTTGCACCCTCTGTTTAAGAATGAGGTAGGGAAGATATCTTTCCAAAATGGCTTAAAGAAAAATATTTTGGAGCTAAAAATAAACTACAGAATACTCTAAATACTCATTTAACTAAAATACTAGACTATTCTAAATTCTCAATTATCTAAATTGTTAATTTTTTTTTAACTGAAAGTAAGTTTCATAGGGACAATATGTTTTAAACCAAAATCACTGTACTTTCTATTTTATTTTAACCATTAGAGGTTAAAATTTCATTTATTATCTAATAATGCTACACCAAATGCAACCACAAGCTCTTTTGCTTACATACTTTACACTACAAAGCACTGCAACATCAATAAGGCTAACAAATAAATCATAAGTGCAGGATGATGTGAATGTGAGCAGTGCCAAACAAGAAAACTCAATTCTGTTTAAGTCTTAGATTAATCCAAGAGTTAAGACTACCACGGTGCGTATATCTGTGTATGTATGTTTGTTTACGTATTTGTGCATACACACAAGTGTATAAAAACATAATGGACTCGAAGTGGAGTATTAATACCTGGGCTTTTGAGTAGTGGTTGGCAAACTTTTCATGTAAAAGGCCAGAGAGTAATTTTGTGGGTCATACAGTCTCTGTATCAACTAGTCATCTCTGCCATCACAGCACAAAAATAGTGTGGCTGTGCTCCAATAAAACTTTATTTACAAAAACAAGCAGTGGATCAGATTTGGTCTGCAGGCTGTAATTTGCTGCCAACACTTGTTTGAGAGTCACACAGACCTGGGTTACTTCATCCAAGTCTTGGTTTCCTTCTCCGTTAACTGATGAGTGCCTACCTCAGGCAGTGTTGTGAAAATGAAATAATACAGGTAAAATACACAATAGAATGCCTAACACACTAAGTGCAATAAATGATACTTAAGATTATCAGTGAAATGAGAAACATTATTATTAAAGTGATTCTGACATTTCATTGTCTAAAACATGTATGTAGTAACATAAACAGCACTGGGATATGTTCAAGAATGTGCATTTTTTCATTCCCTCCCACTTGGAGAATGCCGTTCTCTCCTGAGCAGTTTGATTAAAATGAGAATCATTCAAGAACATTTGTTAAGAGCCTAATGAATACCAGTCAATGGCACTGCACTTGTGCCTAGGCTCTTTGATGCACATGTTGAGAAAGAGATGCTCTACCATGAGTTATGTGCACTTTATACAAAATTATTTTTATGTTTTATGAGATTCCAAACAATCTTTAACACACTAAATATAATAAATTATTTTTAATAACCTGTAAGTTAATTATTAATGTAAAACTTTAAGTAATTTAGGTGGGTAGTTCAGTAGTTAGGTAGGCACATGGAAAGTGTTATGGACTGAACTGTATCCCCCAAAACATATGCTGAAGTCCTAACTTCAAGTACCTGTGAATGTGACACTGTTTGGAAGTAGGGTTTTGCTTGTTATGTTAATGAAGGTCATGGATGGGTCCTAAACCTAATTCATTCTGAGTGGTGTCTTAAAGGGGAAAACAGACATGGAAAGACACACACAGGGAAGACACCATGTGAAGATGCAGGCAGATGAACCTACAAACCCAGGAACACCAAGAACTGCCAGTAGCTACCAGAAGCTGAAAGACACAAAGAAAAGACCTTCCCCTGGAGCCAACACCCTGAATTCAGACTGCCAGTTACTTGAGCTATGAGAAAATAAATTTCTGTTCTTTAAAGTTACCCATTTGTGGTACTTTATTATGGAGGCCCTAGGAAATTAAGATAGGATGACAGAGAGGTAATGTTAGGAAGAGCCTAAGTAAATTTTATCTGAGAAATGGTACTTTGAGATGTTCATCAAACCATGTGGATGTAGATTACATTAGAAAAAGGCAATTTCACTTTCAAAATGTTCTAAGGGAGTGAATGAATGCTTCACTTACGAACTAAGCATGGTCCAAAATGAAACTGTTATATCGGTATAAATTATGCAGCTTATAGCATCCTGTGTTACTTTTTAAATCAATTCCTGAGTGGAATTTATTCACTTGATTTCAGGATGCTTAGTGTTGGCAGACTACCTCTGCAACAGGCAAAATGCCCCTTAACAGGTGAGCTAAAGTTCAGGACATGCCAGAAGATCAGTGTGTGCATTAAGTTGGAATCCTGGGCAGATTTCTCTCCAAGTCAAAACAGTCTGTGCAGAGCCACTCATTTATTATTAGGAAAGCCACATTATTTAGTGATTTGCCATAAGTAGCCCCTAACAACTCTGGATTGACATTCTAAAGTGGAAAGCAAACTTATACATGAAATCAGCTGCCAAACATGAGTGGTGAGCAGAAGATCTGTGACAAAGCTGTGAGGCAGTCTGTGAAGCAGCTTCCCTGAATAAGGGCAACCAGTTCTTCACCTCTGCTCCACAGACAGACTCATCCTCAAAAGCAAAATGTCAAGGGAATCCCAAATTAGTCTGAAAGACAAACAACACAGCCTGTCAAAAGACTGAAAGTTGAGCAGACCATGACCACAAAGTAAACAAGGATAAGAGAACAAACAGCGTTGAAAATGATCTGTCCTGAGCTCGTAGATCAGTCACGCTCTTTGTTCTTACTGAATGTTGTTCAGCCTGAGAACACAGCTGGTTCCACAGCCATGGGCTCACCCATTTCCATGGACTGGGGCAATTATCAGGACCAGAACAAGCCTAGTGGCTCCAGGTGCCAGTATAGGACCCTTTGAGAAAACCCATGGAGAAAATTTCAGAGTTTTTTTCATCCTATTTAAAAATTGGTAGGGGTAAGGGATTCACGAAGGTCAAGCAGTCAAAGATAAAATATGCACTGCCTGAACTTCTAATGAGAAGTCATCGTTAAGTGCAACCCCCAGTAACCTGGGCACAGAAGATAAAAACACAAGAAGCCACAGAAATACTTAAAAATGAACAATCCCACATTGTCATGTATCTTTTAAAAATGAGATCTGTCAAGAATAGACCACATTTAGCATATCTGAGCTGGTTCACACCACAGAGAGCTAGGAGGCAAACAGAAATATCTGAGAAAAAAGTGAACAGAAGAAGGAAATCACTAGGAACTCACCTCAGGAAAGTAAAGACTATAAACAGGATGTGTTATCTTTGATTTGGTTTCCAGCAGAGCTCTCTCCTTTCGTTGTATACTCTGTTGTAATTCTTGCCATTCCTAGGAAAGAAAAATTAAAATATTTGAAATCAAGTATGTTTACAATCACTCTGAGGAGTTCTCATCTTCTTCTAGCTATTATTCCTGACAATGCTAACTGACTAATTAGGGTTAGAATGAGCTCAGTCCCACAAATCTGATCATTTCCCTGCTCAAAACTTGTAATTGTTTTTATAAATCAGTCTAATCCCTTTAGCATGAACTAGCCAGCCATTCATGATCTGACCCTGGCCTACTTCTCCAGTCACTTGTCACTGCTTTCCTCCTTGCACCTTTTATTCTAGTCATTTCAAACTACTTACACTTCTCTGAACTCACCAAGCTGTTTCACTCCTAAACCCTGTTTAGAAATTTTGTTTTTCCCTTTCTCTGCCTGGCAAATTCCTACTCATTATTCTTTCAAAACCAGCTAAAGCCTGAAGTCAGAACACATGTGTAAAGTCTGCCATAAATGTCCCTCTATCTAAGGACTGAGGTGATCAATCTCCTTTGTGCTATCACTACACCTTGTGTAAATGTGGACAATCTGTTATGTACTATAATGTTTATTTATAAGCCTGTTTTCCCCACTAGCCTACAAATCATTCAAGGACAGAAACAGACATTATCTACAATGTGACAGATAATAAATAAACAATTTGCTGTATTATTGGTCACCTGAAGAAATTAGTCTGTTAAACCCTACAAGTCACCTCTACTAATCCTAACCTACTCAAACAAGAATATGTTAACATGTTATCAAATGCGAGGCTGTGGAAATAATTTCTCCATAGGTTTTAATTTCCTGGCAATCAATTTAACGCCTGAAGTACAAAAAAAAAGCCAAGTCCTAGCAACTGCTAAAAACCATCCTTATTTATTTATTTATTTTCACCACTGCCAAGGATGGGTGCGTTATTTCTTTACACGTTACCTGTTTTATCCTGCACCCTTTACCTTTCCCTCTTTTTGGCCTCTCCTTTTGCCTCAGAGGTTATTCAGAGGATCCCTCTTTCTCTCCCAAACCACAAGAGTTACTTTTAGATCAATGGCCCAGTCAAAAAGAACAACACTAACAAACAAGGAAATGGCCCATCAGTTTACAGTTCCTTTGCAGTTTAAGCCTCTCTAAGGATCATTATTTGTCTAACAAACACATTCTTCTCTACAGCCCTCCCATAAGTCACATGAAACTTAATGCCATGCAGTGAGATTTTTTTTTCCTATACTCTATACCCTCACTATTCTAATAAATTCCTTAGACATACCCTCTGTCCTTAATATCTTATATATTCCTTGAAACAAAGAGGCATTATGTAAATATTTGCTTTTCCCTTAACCAACTTCTTGACATTAGGATCAACAGTAATGTTTCTTTACTCTAAATGTCACCTGGAACCTGCTACCTATTTCATAACCCACATTCCCTTATTCATGTTTCCAGAAATATCTCCAACTCTGAAAAATCCTTCAGAGACCAAACTGACTTTATTTCAGACCCAGGTCCTACTCTATCTAGCAATTTAAGAAAACTAGGATTTCTGATCTTTGTTAAAAACAATTTTCATTTATAGCTTTGACTTTTATCCCTCGAAAATATTCTTTACAAAGTAATATATTAAGAATTATCATAAAATATACTGGTATTGTTTAAGATAAGCCAACAAACAACAAAATCTAAAAATAATTGGAATTACAATTCAATTATTTAAACCCATAACGTAAGTCTTACTGCTTCATCATCTTTGTTTTGCTTTTCATCTTGCTCTCTATCAGAGTCTCTGTCACTACCATCTTCCTTTTCACTTTGGGAATCTCTATTGGTTTCTTCTTCTTCAGAATCACTGCCTTTGTCAGACACTTCTTCTTCATCTTCCTTTACTACAGCTTCCTGAAAGCAAAAAGCAACCATAAAAACTTCTAAATATCTCAGTGAGGATATATTATTCTGAGTCCCTGAAGCTAACTTACTGTGATTATAATTAAACTGGCTGAAGGTTATAATTTCACTATTCATACAGAATTTTTTTTAATTATAAAAAGTTAGTTATAAAGATGTGGGAGACTGACTGGAGATGTTAACATTTGTTTTTTGTCTATTATTAGTTACTTTATTCATTCTTCACAGTTTCTGAAACAAAAATATTTTATTTCTATTTGCAAAGTACACTATCACAATGGCTAAGATGTCTCATCTTTCAAAGACGTCAATTACATAGTATATTTTATTTAAGGAGGGGAAACAGAAGTTCATAAAAAAAATACTGCTTTAAGAGTTTAGTATCATTTTCTATAACTGACAGGGTATAATGCAATAAGGAAAGCCAGTGTCTCAGGCAACATATTCTTCTACCTCAAGAGGAAAAAGAACAGCAAATTAAATGCAAAGCAGAAGGAAGTAAACAATAAACACCAAAAATAAATGACAAAGAAATCAGATATACAAAAAGGAAACTCAAGCAAAACCAAAAGCTGACTCTTTGAAAAGATTAAAAAAATTAACAAACCTCTAGGCAAGACTGTTCAAGAGAAAAGAGAACACAGATTACTAATATTAGGAATAAAAAAGAAGACATCACTATAGATCTAACACATTAAAAATAAAAGATGATATGAGTAACTTTATGCCAATAAATTTGATAACTTAGAGGAAATGAACAAATTCCCTGAAAACATATGTAAAAACAGCATGGGGGCAGTGTCTGACCTCCTTTAATTTCACAAGGGGGAAGGAGAACCAAGATCAACAGCCGAAGGTTGATTCCCATGAGGCAGAGGTCAGACATGCCTTCTCTCTCCACCATCATTACCAATTCTGACACCAACCGTTCCTCCCACAGTACTCTCTACTTCTCTGCTGGGTTCCATTACTCATTGAAATAGCCACACAGAACTCACAGGCCACACTCACAATTACTGGGTTTATCAGGAAAGTTTAACAGTTATAATTCAGGCTCAGGAACACTAAGGATACAGTTCTTTCATCAGGACAGCCTCTCCCAAGCTGTGCTCGCAGGCACACCTCTCCCTGGCCCTGCCCAAAGGCATTCAGTTTTCTCACTCTGTGGGCCGGGAAGCCCATCATGCCTTCTCCTGCTACCAGGTCTCGGCTGCCACGGCTTCTCACCATCTTCAGGGTTACAGCTTGCTCTCTCTCTCTCATCTCCTGCTTCCAGAAGCTTCTCATTGCAGGGATCCCGGGTCCAAAGAACACACTCTTTGCTCCTGGCTATTCTTCCTTGGTGATGGTAGGATCTTGCTCTCTGCTCTGGAATTAGCTCTCTTTTAAGACAAAACTGACCGATCCCTTTAGCGGGAAGACAAAACTGACCCATCCCTTTAGTGGGCCACAATTACACTATCACACAGTCCTGCCCAATCACCTGGGTGGGAGTTACAAGACCATGGCTAGAAAGCCCACACAAAAGCAATCAATTACACCACACCATAATTTACCAAAACTGAGAGAAGAAAACAGAAAATCTGAAGTCTTATATATGTTAAAGAAACAGAATCCATAATTAAAATTCTTTTAAAAATTCCAGGACCAAATGGTTTCCCTAGAGGATTCTTCCAAATAAGAAGGAAACTCAATCTCACACAAACTCTTTCAGGAAAGAGAGAGAGCACTTCCAATGAAGCCAACAAACCTGATACAGAACCTGACAACGATATTAAAAGAAAGGAGAATGATAACCCAATATTCTCTTACAAAAATAGACTCGGGAATCCAAACAAAATATAAAAAGGACACCGCATATAACTAAATGAGATTTTTTCCAGGAATGCAAAGATGGTTTAAATTTTATTTATTTTGTTGTTGTTGCTGTAAACACACACAGCAAAACATACACCAATTCAACAGTTTCTACGTGTACAATTTAGTGACAGCAAGTACATTTTTCGAGTTGTACAACCGTTCTCACCCTCTTCTTAGTTGTTCTTCCCTCAGTAACATAAACTCACTGCCCCCTAAGGTTCCTATCTAATCTTTTTGAGTTCCTGTTGTCAATTTGATCCCATATAGACAGTTCTTAAAAGAGTATAATGCTCAAGGCAGACCTTTTTACTAGTTTGGTTTAAATTTTTTAAATCCAACAATATAACTCACCACATTTACAGAAACGAGAAAAGTAACATGATCATCTATATAGATGCAGAAAAAGCATTTACTGAAATGCAATACTTGCTCATTTTAAAAATTCTCAGCAAACTAAGAATAGAAGGGAAACTTTGTATTCTTCTTGACGTTGAAAAGAAGACAAAGATGTCTGCCATTATCACTTACAATCAACATTATACTGGAGGTTCTAGCCAGTACAGTAAGAAAGAACAGAAGAAAGAATGAATGAACAAAAGAAAGAGCATGAACACTGAATAGAAAAAAGTAAAGCTGTCTTTATTCACAGAGGGCACGACTGTAGACAGAGAATGTTTTTATAAATATCCACAAATAAATAATTAGAATTAGTGTCAATTCATCAGGGCTCCTTATTACAAAGCCAATATTTAGAAAGCAACTTTATTTCCATAAACCAGCAACAAACATTGAAGAAATTTTTTTTTAAATTTCATTTACAATAGCATCAGAAAGCATCAAATGCCTAGGAGTAAATTTAATGAAAGATGTGCCATACTGCTATCACTGGAAATTATAAAACTGCTGAAAAAAATTAAGGAAGATCCAATTAATGAAGATAAACCATGATTATGAGTAGAAAGGCTCGATATTGTTAAGTCAATGTCCCCACATCAAACCACAGATTCAATGTAATACCAGTATAAACTTCAGCAGTTTTTGGTGGAAATTGTCACATTTATTCTAAAATGTATCTGGAAATGCCAAGGAACTAAAGAAGTAGAGACACTTTTGAACACATAAAATAAAGAGTTGGAGTGCTGTTCAACATTAGAAAAGCAATCAACGTAATACCCCACATCAACAGAACAAAGGCAAAGAACCCATATGATCATCTCTGTGGATGCAGAAAATTATTTGATAAAATCCAACACCCTTTCTTGATGAAAACCGTAAAGAAGATTGGAATACAAGGGAAATTCAGTATGATTCAGCACATATATGAAAAGCCAACAGCCAATATTACACTTAACAGAGACAGACTCAGAGCTTTCCCCTTGAAATCAGGAACAAGACAATAGGTACCTGCTCTGACCACTTCTATTCAATACTGTATTAGAAGTCCTAGCCAGAGCAGTAAGACAAAAAAAAAAAAAAAAAAGGTATTCAGATTGGAAAAGAAGTAAAATTATCTCTATTAGTAGATGATATGATCCTATATATAGAAAACCCCAAAGAGTCCACAAGAAAACTCCTAGAGCTAATAGAGGAATTTAGCAAAGTACAGAGTACAAGGTCAACAAACAAAAATCTGTTCTGTTTCTTACACCAGCAATGAGAAATGTGACAGGGAAATTAGGGAAACAATTCCATTTACAGCTGCATCTAAGAGAATAAAACACCTAGGAATAAATCTAACCAGGGACGTGAAGGACTTATACAATGAAAATTATAAAACACTGCTGAAAGAGCATAAAGAAGACTTAAATGCAAAGATGTTCCATATTCATGGATTGGAAGACTTAATATTGTTAAGATATCAGTACTACCCCAAGTGATCTATTAGAGTCAACCCAATCCCAATCAAAATTCCAAGAACCTTCTTACAGAAACAGAAAAAACAATCCTCAACTTTATATGGAATAGCAAGAGGCTCTGAATAGCTAAAGCAATGTTGAAAGAGAAGAACAAACTAGGAGGACTCACACTTCCTTATTTTAAAACATACTATACAGCTACGGGGCCCTGGTGGCACAGTGGTCGAGAGCTACGGCTGCTAACCAAATGGTCAGCAGTTCAAATCCACCAGCCACTCCCTGAAACCCTATGGAGCAGTTCTACTCTGTCCTATAGGGTTGCTATGAGTCAGAATCGACTTGACGGCAATGAGTTTGGTTGGTTTTTTTTTTTTTTTTGGAGGGGGGGTATATAGCTACAGTAATTAAAACAACCTGGTACTGGTATAACAATAGACACCAGACCAATGGAACAGAACTGAGAATCCAGAAATAAACCCATACATCTATGGTCAACTGATTTTTGACAAGCGTGCTAAATCTATTTGATGGGGAAAGAAGAGTTTCTTCAATAAACAGTGCTAGGAAAACCGGATTTCCACATGAAGAAAAATGAAACAGGATCCATGCCTCATACTATATACAAAAACAAAATTCAAAATGGATTAAGGACCTAAATGTGAGACTAAAACCATAAAATTTTTAGAAGAAAAAGCAGGGGCAATGCTGTCAGGCCTAGCTTTTAACAATGGACTATCTATTATAGTAACAAAAGTACAAATAGTAAAAGACAAAATAAATAAATAGGACCTCATAAAAATTAAAACTTTTGTTCAACAAAAGACTTTAGCAAAAAACTGAAAAGACAAACTACCGACTGGGATAAACCATGTATCTGACAAGAATCTAATCACATATATATATATATAAAACTTCGACAACAACAAAATGACGATTAATCCAATCATAAAATGGGCAAAGGGCTTGAATAGACATTTCACCAAAGAGGACATTCAAATGGGCACCAAACACATGAAAAGATGCTCAGCATCATCAGCCATTAGAGATGCAAATCAAAACCACAATGAGATACCACTTCACTCCCACTAGGATGGCTAAGATTAAAAAAAAAAAGAAAAAAAACAGAAAATAACAAATGTTGGCAAGGATGTGGGAAAACTGGAGCCGTTACCCATTGCTAGTGGGAATGCAAAATGGTAAAGCCATTGTGGAAAACAGTGTGAAGGTTCCTCAAAAAACTAAAAATAGAACTACCATATGACTCAACAATTCTACTCCTAGGTATATACCCAAAAGACTTGAAAGCAGAATCTCGGAGACTTGTAGACCAATGTTCATTGCGCACTATTCACAATAGCCAAAAGGTGGAAACAACCTAAATGTCCATCAACAGATGAATGGATAAACAAAATGTGGTACATACATACAATGGAATACTACTTAGCCAGGAGGAGAAATGAAGTCTTGATACATGCTTCATTTATGGATGGAGCCTGAAGACATTATGCTGATTGAAATAAGTTAATCACAAAAGGGCAAATATTGTCTAAAACCTCACTTACATAAAAAGAGAAGGCAAATGTATAAAGTTTATTAACAGTTACTGGGGCGGGAAGCAGGGGAAAAGGGCGGGGGTTAACAGTCATTGGAAAATCACGTTAAGGGAGGATTGCACAGTCAATTATTGTAACTGCTGTCAGTAAGTTGTATACCTGTAAAAAGTTGAATTGGCAAAAGTTCTGTAATAGATATATTTATGACAAAAAAAAAAAAGTAGCTGCTGAGGCTGCTTATGTACATCTAAACACCTCATGGAATCTGGTCCCTTGGTTTGGAGGTTCAGGGTCATGGTTTCATAGGACACCCCAGTTAAATGTCCTAATAATATGTTTAGTGATTCTGTTCTACCTCCTAGTTCACTGCACAGTGCCCTGGAATCTTAAAGGCTTGCAAGCAGCCATCCAAGGCACAACAATTGGTCTCTATTCACCTAGAGGAACAGAGGAAGGAGAGTCAGAAATAGCAGGAGAAAATGGAATGTGTGGTTACTTGCCTCCATGAACAGCTGTTTCCTTTGCCATGAGACCAGAAGAACTGGATGGTGCCCAAATACTATTACTGAACATTTTGATCAAAGATACCATAAATGAATCCTGATCAAAAGGGAGAAAATACAGAACAGAATTTCAAATTCTCAGGGACTCCAGACTTCCTGGAGCCATAAAGGTTGAATGAACCCCACAAACTATTGTCCTGAGATAATGTTTAAACCTTAAACCAAAAATGTCCCCTGAAGTCATCTTAAAACAAAACAACAGTTTAGCTTAACTAGTAAAAAATGTCTGCCTTGAGCATATGCTCTTTTAAGAACTATCTATATGGAATCATATTGATAACAGCAACTTGAAAGATTAGTAGGAACCTTAAGGAGCACTAAATTTATGTTAATGGGGGAGGAATAACTCAGAAAAGGAGGGTGAGAATGGTTGCAAAACTCGAAAAAATGTAATCAATGTCACTAAATGATACATACAGAAACTGCTGCCCTGGTGTGTATATTCTCAAAAATAAAATAATTTTTTAAAAAAAGAGAGAACTTACTCTATTTCAATACTTAACATAAAGTTATAGTAAGTAAGACAGTGTGGCACTGGCACAAGAACAAATACATCAACAGAATGTACTAGAGAGTCCCTAGACAGATCAACATATATACAGTCATAGTCACCTGATTTATGATAGAGGCACCACTGCAATTGACTGAAGAAAGGATGATCTTTTCAATAAATGATGCTAGAATAAATGGTCTGTATGCCCTATCTCACATCATTCAAAAACATTAATTCAACACGAATCACAGCGCTAAACAGAACAAGTAAAACAATATTACTTCTAGGAGAAAACAGAAAAATATCTTCATATCCTTAGGGTAGGCAGAGATGCCTTAAAGAGGACACAAATAGCACTTAACCATAAAAGAAAAGATTGATGAAATTGATTTCATTGAAATTAAGAACCATCAAAAGCTACCACTGAGAGTAAAAAAATAAGGACTCATATTCATAATATATATAAGACTCCTACAAATCAAGACGACGATGACAAATAATCCAACAGAAAAAGACATTCAAAGAGCCAATTAGCATCTGAAAAGGTACTTAACATCATTAGTCATCAAGGAAATAAAAATAAAAGTCACAAAGAGATATCACTACAGATCCACCACAATGGCTAAAATAAAAAAGACTGGTAAAACCAACTGTTGGTGAGGACATGGAGCAGATGGACTCATACTTTGCTGGCAGGAGCATAAAATGGTACAACTTTGGAAAACTGGCTCTTTCAAGAAAGTTAACCATACACCTATTTTACGACCTAGCAATTTCACTGCTATATATCCTAGAAAAATTAATGCAAATGTCCACAAAATGACACGTACAAGAGTAATCACAGCCCCTTTGTTCATAATAGGCAAAAACTAGACACACAAATGTCCGCCAATCACAAAACAAATAAATTGTGGTATATTCATAAAACAGAGTATTACACACAAAAAATAATAGACTACCGCTACACAAAATACAGATGAATGTGACAGACATAATATAATGTTCAGCAAAAGCAGCCAGACATAAAATGATTTCATTTATGTTAAGTTTAAGACTAGGCAAAACTAATCTACGGTGATTCATCAGAATAACAGTCGGGGGTGGGAGAGGTAGATGGAGGGGTGATTGACTGGGAAGGGACACAATGGAGCTTTTTAGGGTGCTGGTAATTTAATGTTTCATATACTGATCTAGGAATCATGGGTATGTACATATGCAAAACTTCAGGAGCTGTACACATTAAGACTTGGAGCATTTTAGTATATGTATACCTCAATAAAAATAATAATGAAAAATATTAAACTTACACTCCCAATGACTCCATTTGCCTGCTTTTGTTTCTGCTGCTTTGACTGTGGTAATGGCACAGGTGTTGGTTTTTTTTTTAAAGGCTTCTTTTTTTTTGATTTAGCAGTTTTCTTGGGTCCTTTACTCTTCTGTTGCCATCCTCCTTTTGTCCTGTTCTTGTTAGCATCACCCTAATGTGAATCGCAACCATAAACACAAGTTATATCAACAGGTTCATTTGGAAGTACAATAGTTTTCAGATGGAAATGGTTAAACTGAATGTTTTCATAAACTTAACTATTCTCCTACAACAACATAAGTCAATCAGAGAACTTAATAAAATGTTTCTTTAACCAGGAAACACAGGTAAGCAAACTCGAGTTTTTACCCCATCTTCTGCTGGCTGTTCCTCGGCCGCACAGATGGACTGCTCCTTTTCAAATACTTCCTAAGGGTAGCGAGAAGAAAAATACAAAGTCTGTCAATCTATATTCATCTTTTCAGGTAGACAAAGTAGTCTTTCAAAATGTATTACCAGTAACTTCTTTTAACTGGCTACAAATGAGAGCAGGGAAAAAAAAAAAAAAAGACTAAGCAATTACTGATGAACATGTACAAATCCAGGTAGTTACTATCTGAAGTATCTCACATCTGTCTTGAAATATTCTGAAAAGCAGTCTACTTCAATTTACAAATGCAATGATTTCACATATGTAATTCATTATAAGGTCAAAAATACTTCATAGTTTCAAATTCCACTTTTCTTCTAACAGTAATCAAACATGAATATTTTAATGTTATGAGAATTATAAATGAATTATATTGTTTTCTAACATTAAAACCTTCATGAGACTAATATTAGCAGTTTATTCATTATTGTCCATGACATTACTCACTGGCTCTGTAACTAAGTGGAACACCAAGAATGTCCAGATATCCTGAAGAAATATCCACCCACCATATATAATCAATTTAGAACCAGCGCAGAAGCTGCAAATTTAGGATTTAAATTCCAGTTAAGAACCCTAACGATCTGTATTGGAAAAGGACAAGGGCTAAGTATAATGAACGCCTGGAATTATTAAAGCTAACAAGTAAAAACAACTGAAAGTGTCAGGCTCTAAACAATGGAGATATTCCAGTTCAGAGATCAGCAAACAATAGCCCACTGCTTCAATTTTTTTTTTTTTAATTGTGGTAAAATATATACTACAAAGTTTGCCATTTTAACCATTTTTAAGTGTACAATTCAGTGACATCAATTACATCCATCATGTTATGTAACCATTATCTCTGTCCATTTCCAAAAGTTTTTCATCACCCCAAACAAAACTCAGTGTCCTTTAACAATAATTCCCCATTTCCCCCTCCCCTCAGCCCCTGCTAAACACTAATAAACTTTGGTCTCTATGTATCTGCCTGTTTTAGATATTTTCTATAAGTGGGATCATACAATATTTGTCCTTTTATGTCTGACTTATTTCACTCAGCATAATGTTTTCAAGGTTCATCCATGTCACAGCATATAACAGAACTTCATTTCTCTTTATGGGTGAAAAATATTCCATTGTATGGATATACCACATTTTATTTATCCATTCATCTTTCAATGGATACTTGAGTAGTTTCCACCTTTTGGCTATTTTGAATAATGCTGCAATGAATACTGATGTGCAAGAATCTGTTTGAGCAGCTGCTTTCAAGTCTTTTGGGTATATACCCAGAAGTGGAATTGATGGGTCATATGTTTAATTATATGTTTATAATTAACTTTATGTTATGTTTAACTTTTTTGAGGAACTGCCAAACTGTTTTCCACAGCCCACTGCCTACATTTTAAACAAAGTTTTATAGGAACACAGCCACACCCATTTGTGAGTTGGGCAGTTGCTACGGGACTATATGGCCGCAAAACCTAAAACATTTACTATTTGAATTTTTATAGAAAAGGTTTGCCAACCCCTGTTCTAATGTTACATTCCTTCTTAATTTATTAGCTGGGAATGTTCTACGAAAATGTTCTAATACTTGCTTACTCTGAGGTACACTTCATACAAGAATGGCAGGATAAATACTTGATTCCTTCCCTTTCTTCAAGGTGGTTTTGCTTTTTCCTCTGCTAGGCGCCCAGAAGTGTCAACAGCCCAAAACCAATTTTTATCTTGGTTCTCAGCTTGGGAATTCCTACAGCATGTTGGAGTGTAAATCTGGATTCTAAATCCAATCCTGGCACTGGCTTAGAGTTTCCTCTTCTCCCAGGAGGCACTCTCATCCAGAGTCCATGACACAAACACTTCCTTACCACTTGCTAAAATCAACACCTTAGGTTTGACAAACCCTACTACAAAATGTGCTTTTCCTACTAGAGATTTTAGACACAGCGTTTAAGTGCAGCATGTAATTTCCTGCAGGTGCTCAGAGACTCCAGAGCAGAACAGGCTGAAATCTACCACAAGTTGAACAAACTGCATTAAAATACTATACGGTCTATTAATGAGTTACAATTGTATTAGTTGATTTGAGAGGTAATATAAGTATGTTAAAATATAAATATTCAGAAAACATATTTATTACCACACTTGAAAAAAGAGAACGAGAAAAGTACCAGTATATATGAGTACATATATAGACAGTAAATATGAGCATGAGAAAGGTATGAAAGGATATACACAAGACTGTGAATTCTGGTCGTCTGGGGCTGATGAGCAGTTTACTGAGGGAGATGAGTGAGAGAAGAGGTCCATGATAAAAACACTACGTGACTCTATGGGTATACACGCATTCAGATATATAAAAGGATGAGTTTTAAAATATTATCTCAGAGTAGCAAGATTTTAGGTGATTTTAATTTCTTCCTATACTTTTCTGCAAGGAACCCTGGTGGCACAGTGGATAAAGCGCTCAGTTTGAACCCACCAGCTGCTTCATGGGAGAAAAATGTGGCCGTCTACTTCCATAAAGATCTACAGCCTTGGAAACCCTACGGGGCAGTTCTACTCCGTCCTGTAGGGTTATACAATGAGTCAGAATCTACTCAATGGCAGTGGGTTTTATACTTTTCTACACTACTTGAATTTTTTTCTAAACAGTATGAATCAGAAGAAAAGTTATTTTTGTCATAATTTTTAAATTTTTTAAATAAAAAAATACAGGATAAATTCTCTAAAAAATTAACTAAAAGGTGATGAAATTCTCAATAATAATAACCAATAATTATATGTGAGGAGCTATGGTGGCACAGCAGTTAAGAGCTTGGCTGCTAACCAAAAGGGCAGCAGTTTGAGCCCACCAGCTGCTCCTTGGAAACCCTATGGGGCAGTTCTACTCTGTCCTACAGGGTTGCTATAAATCAGAATTGACTCAATGGCAACAGGTTTTTGGTTTTGATATAGCATTGTAGTTTAAGAACAAAATCCACATTAGTTTCTTATTATTATAGTTTTTTATAGGAAATTAACAAACCATTACATAAAGAATTAACCTATTCTCCAGGTTGTGTGTGTAAACTATGTCTCATGAAAATTAATTTAAAATTTCAAAACGGCTAACAAAATTGGCAAAATTAGACATTACGCTCCTGCAACAGTTTTGACTTTGAGAAAGTACTACTTAAAATGAGAAAATATAAAAACTTTGACATATAACTCTTAGAAGCATAAAAATCAAATGCACTACTTACTGCCATTGTTTGCCTTGTCAATTTAACCAACACTGTAACTAGGGATCCTACTGTAATATTGTTGCTATCTTCATCATCCAATACTATAAGATGAAAGGAGAAAAGAATAGAGTAAAAAATAAAAATCAAGTTCTAAATTAATGCAAATAGCAAAGCTTAATTTACTCAAGTCAATTTGATGCTTCAGTATCTCAAACATACTATACTATAAACCTACTCAATAAAAAATAATTTATTAACTGTCTACTCTTCATAAGGCTCAGTAGATGCTTTTAACAACTGCTTCATTTAATCCTTAAAATAGCTCTACAAAGGTTATTATTTCCACTTTAAAGAAGAAACTGAGGTTCAGAAATAAAGTAAAACATCCAAGGTCACATAACCACTGTATTGCCACTGCTTTCAAATTCAGGTCTTTTCAAACAAAGTATAATGTGAGTACCACCATACCACAGCTCTCTCTCATAGTGATATAAAAACAGGGTTCTGTCACTCTACTATATTGTGCAAAGCTTATATTCACAAGGTTTTTACTTATATGATTAATACCTGACTGTCAGACTAAAACGATGAAAGCTAGTGTTCTAAACCACATTAAAGAGACTTAATTTTTTAAAAGCAAGAACTTCGATATATTCACTTTACATTAAGAAAACACCTTAAAAAACATTTTTTTGCAATAAATGGTGCCAAATAGAATAAATGTTTTTACAACTCTTTCATTTTCTAAAACCAGGTTTGCCACATACACCCCCAAAAAAGGTCTAATAATAAAGTAATACATTTTCAAACGTTATCTCCTATACAAATGTAGGTATTAACTGATTTTTTTTCCTACAGATTTTATCTGTAAGAGTTTTTCTTCACTTTGTATACTTGCCTACAGGCTTTTCTAAGTTTACGATGTTTATTTTACACAGATTTAGATTAGTGTACTCTGTCCTGGACTCTACTAATGTATCACCATCCGGAAGAGAATGGCTTCCAACAATCTATAACTGCCATCTCCATTACTGGCTATGCAATGCAGCAGCTGGCCATCAACACAGGGTATGGTGTATCCCTTCTTCAACCTGAAAGTCTCCATTACCTCAAATCAAATCTGGGTTACATATTTATCAACACTTCAAAGTTGTATATGGGCACATACTGCATGTGAAATAATAGCTGTATCACTGTTTGCCTACTGTTTGACACTTAAAAGTGAAGAAAAAGCCTACAGGAGATTCTCTACAGCCTCTAACAATGTGGGCAAGGACACCCACCATCTCCAGCACTGTATCATGCAGATGTCCCTCTCCTGATTCTATAATTCTTCTGCTCCCTCCATTAACTACACCACGCATGTTACACATTTAGACAGCACTGTAAAAATATAAAATAGCAGACTGTTCTGTATCATACGCTATGGAATGTTTCCCAGTGAGACTGAATACTTCTATCATTACTTCTTACAAGAAAATGTCTTTTGACATTCATTTTTCTAAAGAACATGTACTTTTTATAATCCTTGATTATATCAAAGAGTATCTCAAGTCTGAAACTAGATTTTTATTTGAACAGGTAACTTCTGATTAAATCAGTATGGTCCTAAATGCAACTTTTAGATTGGTGTTTTTAAAGTTTAAAAATTCATGGACCCACAAGGAAATCCCAACTCCCCTACAAAGCAGCCCATGTCTTTCCTGCATGTATCCTACACTCCAATTGCAGCCCAGCTGAAACCTCTCCCAAACGCCACACTCTTTGGTAATCATTTACCTCTTTTCAATTCCCATTAGAATGCAAGCTCAATAAGACGGAGGCCTTGCCCTACTCACTACTGCTTCCCCAGCACCCAGAACAGTGCATGCTACAAAATTAGTATTTGTTGGATGAATAAATGGCACAGTGTCTATGTAATTCATTTAAAGCTCAGCACATGTTCCCTAGTTTATAATTCAATATCCATGTCCTATTTCCTCAACTGAACTATAAGCCCTCTAACGACAGAAATCATTCCTAAGGTATCTCTGTATTTTTGGTACCCACAAGAATATTCTCACAACAGTAATCAAGCAAGTGTATTGGCAGCTCACGACAATGCCAGAATGAAGGAATGGAGATGATCACTAAATTCTATCACCATTCTAAGATACTATTATTCAGCTATTAAAATTGGAACTCACAGAGCAATTATGTAGGTAGAAAAATATTTTTTTCTTTCTTTTCTCTATTTCTTCTCTCTCAAAGCAGATACAAAGATAGAGATGTGGCAAGAAAAACACATGAAGTATGTGGCAGGAAACAGGGTAATTTTCAAGACTTAACATAAATAAGTTGGGATTTTCTGAATTAATTTTAGAACTAAGCAGTATGTTAAATGCTATTATTTAGAAATTAGTATTTAGTATTCCTAAATACTAAAGTATTTCGTACTAGATCTATTTCAAACATCTCATTCTTTCATTGAACCTAGAAACTTCTTTCATTCTTTGAAATGTTATGAAATTTCTGAAAGTTGAACTATAGGGACAAACTTAAGCATATGGAAAATAAAAGCAGAACTGTATCAGTGTTCTCAAAACTATTAAGTATACATCATTTTCCATCATAGTAAATCTGATAAGTAAAAATCTACAGTTTTGCAAAGTCTAATTACAAGTTATGTTATTAAATGAAACGTTGAGAATCTCGAGCCAAATAAATAAGAATCAATCTATCAAAAGGGAAGCAATGTCAACATGGAAAATCTCCCACTTACCCTGTGATTTTATGTCCATAGTCACATACGGAAAACTCCCAAGTACAGCCATCACCTCTTCATATTTTTCATCTTCAAGGAAGTGCAGCAGATTGTGACGATCTGATTCTTTTAAACTTACCAAATCCTGGATAGTTTTAATTTTGTACTGAATAAAAAAAAAAAGAGAGAAAAAAAATGAACTTCTAATTCATAAAAATTCATAAAAGGAAAATTATCATGTTGACTAAAACAAAATTCAGCAACTTTTAGAAAAACGTTAAGATCATATGCATTTAAAAGCTGAAAACATTACCAGATAGCATTTAATGGCTGTCTTCTCCAAGGAAATTTAAAGATTTTTTTTTTTTAAATGCAAAGTTAACACAGACTTATTTTTAAATATTCAAAAAAAATTAGGTTAGAGAAAAAACAACATTCACATAGAATTTTGACCCAAGCAAGAACTACTGTCATTTTGGTATTTATTTCCTTCAGATCTTTTTAAAATATACACAGATTTCCTTTATAGTTACAATTTCACTACATACCAAAGCCCATTGCCATCAAGTGGATTCCGACTCATAGCGACCCTATAGGATAGAGTAGAACTGCCCCATAGGGTTTCCAAGAAGCGCCTGGTAGATCTGAACTGCCAACCTTTTAGTTAGCAATCATAGCTCTTAACCACTATGCTACCAGGGTTTCCAATTTCATTATGTAAGCAATTTTTATACTACTTTTCCTGCTTATTATTTTCTGTGAAGACATTTTTAGTGACTGCATAGTAGTCAACTGGGTGAATACATTAGTTTCAACATTCCTCCGTGATTCAGCACTTTGTTTCTTTCCAAAGTTACCTTTATGCTGCAGCCACACGGAACACCTTTGTATACACATCTTTTTTAAGAATTATTTGCTTAGGATAAATTCCCACAAGAAGAGTTGAATTAAAGGGTCTGAGCATTTATTTACCTCCTGAGAAACAATGCTAACTTGTTTTCTGAAAGACAACTATCAAACCTTTCAACTTCTTACCCCAAAACTACATATATTTACCTAGATCTGCACACTCCTATCCTTTTACTTTCTTACTCCCAAGACAAAATCCAAGGAAGGGTCTTGCAGATGGTATACAAGACCCTTCTTCACTGCCTGGACCCTGCCTAGTTGCCCCCAACCCTATCTCTTCTTAGACTTTATGCTGCAGCCGTATAGAACAATCTGTAATTCCCCAAATATGCTACATCTTCCTCTCTCCCAAATATTAGTAGAGGTTGGTCCTGTGTGTCAAGAAGGCACATTCTTCTCCTTTGTTGTTCATGCTACCGACTCTCATTTCAAAACTTAAGTACCACTCATTCTACTATTGACTGAGTTAGTGTTCCATTATTCCTCATTTTTTGTTTTGCTTGAATGTTTTTTAAGGGTTTTTATTTAGTGAGTGGACAAATTTAAATCAAATGCTTGTTTGACACTAATAAGACAGTCATATAATTTCCCTTATTTAACCTATAACACTCTTTATTAATAGTTTTCTTTAAATATTGAATCATTTTTGCATTCCTGAAGTAAGCCCCAAAGTAGAAGAATTTTCTTCTCAAAACTTACTCCAATGCTTAATGTTTATCTAGGATTTCAGCATCTATATAAAAGTCTTGGCCTAGAGACTGTTTTCTTCATGGTGTTGCCAGTTTGATATATGATTATTTTTGCTTCAAAAAGTAAAGAAGTGAGGACTTTTCTTTTTTGTGTGTTCTAGGATAATTTATGTGTCATAATAGGGGCACGTGAGAGATTTGGTTCTTGATAATTTTTTCATTATCTTCTTCAGTTAGAAATTCTGCCAGTTTTCTACTTCATTTTATTTTCAATTTTAATACTGATTTTTCTTTTCCTGATTTCTCACTGAGTTTTCCACGATTACAATTGTATATAACGTTACTACATTTTTAAAATTCTCCTACTTCTAATTTTCTAATTGCATTACTTCTTTTCTTGATTTCATATGCCAAACATTTATCTACTTTTGGTTTTTAAATCTCTTAAGCTAATTAATTCATCTATTTATATCCTAATTCAAATTAATTCCTGCTCTTTATCCTCTAAAAAGTCAATCTTCAATATTTCCTTAGTACTTTTTCTGCTTTACAAAAAACTAGAGTTGAATGCTCAGTTGTCAACTTTAATTTTCAATTTTAATACTAAAAATCTTTAAGTATGAATTTACCTCCAAGTACAGTTGCACTCTCAAGGTTTTACTACGCAATATTCTCATTGTTATTTTCTAAATATATAGCTGTCTGTTATTGCAGTAACAACTACCTTGGCTGAACGGCTACTTAGGAGAACGTTCTTTAATTTCCAGGTGTTTGGTGCTAGTGACTATATTTTTATGCAAATAACATGCAACTTCTACGTTTGTTTGTCAACCATGCCCACCCTCTGCAAGATATATCTGTCTATGCAAATTTATTTTTACAGCAACATGTAAAAAAAAAAATTGGCATATCAGCGCTTATGAAAATACCTGGCAGGGAGAATGCATGGTTGGCAAACAAACATAGAAGGTGTGTGTTATCTGCATAAAATGCAGCATTTAATTTTTAACTTTCACTGGAATTAGATAATGAGGCATTTGAAATTCCTAATTTTGCATTCTGAGATTTTTAATTATGGCCTAACATATGATCAGATTTATAAGGGTATCACGATTACATGAAAGGACAGAGAACAGTGATAAAAATTTCTAATATACATTTGTTAATTCTACCTTATTATAATATCAAACCCAATGCCTATCTTCTGTCCACATGGTCTACTGGTTATGTTTAAGACCTCCTATTAGAATTGTATTTTCATTTAATTTCTTCTTATATTTCCTCAAGTTTTTTATTTACACATATTTTTGCTATGTGTTATGGTTCATTATCATGTCTTCACTATTGATTATATTTTATGTTAGAATTATTTTTACTTTATTTATTTACTGAATGCTTCATTTTTTTGTTGTTGTTCATACTCAACCAATAAATCTTTACCCTATCTTTAAGCTGAAAGTGAATTACTAGAAAGTACATAGTGCATTTTTACTCAGTACATTTATTTTTGGTAACAACATATAAGAAACAAAAGCATTACTTGCTTAAATGCACTGACTCTCAAAACAGTAAAATCACTTACAGTAGTAAAATATTACAAAACAGCTACATAATCAAGAAAATATTAATGGAAACCACCTGAGTTGTAGAATGTTTAAGACATTCTAAATCTAAGAAATTCATAGTAAACATTTCTAAAAAAAACTCTTCATTCATGTTATAAGTAATGTGACAAGCTGCTAAAAATTAACTTTAAAGTAGCAAAAAGATACCTTTTTATGATTAGAAACCCGTCTAAGATTGTCCTCTTCAATGTGAGGGAGCTGCAGAAGGGCAGACTTAAACTGCTGAAGGCCTTGAACGGTCATCTGAGAAAGCTTCATGCAGTTTTCTAGGGATGTCAAAGTTGGAGCACGAAACTCCCTTTCTTAGAAAGAATAGAAAAAAAAAGAAAAAACAGGGCTAGACTTTTTACATGTTCAAGAGTATACAATTCATCACAAAAACAAGATTCATGTTAACATTCTTAACACCTCAAATTTTAAAATAACAGTGTTGATTTTCCTTTAAAAGTTACTGGATAAGATACTAGAAATATACAAACTTTGTGAAATGCACATTATCCAGCAACCACCGATTTAATACAAAAACAGTTTGCATCACCTCCAATAGTAGTACATTATCAGGCATTATCAGTACAGAGAATATACTGACACCATGCCAAGAACCAAAATCGTCTGTAACAAAGAACCACAACCACTACCTCCTTTTTAAGGGACTCCCTTTTCCTTTACTGGTAACAAATCCCCTCATTCTTTTCCTTTCACGAAAAAAGCACTACGTGTCAGGTGAATCATCATTACATCAGTTAAAGAATTATTTCAAAATCTGTTATAACACAGAATAACCTAATTCCAACAATACTCAGTGGAAGAAAAAGGGTATTTAAAATCTCTGCTAAGGACACAACAAAAAATAAAATTCAAAAACACAGTGAACAGCGGTAAAGACTTTATATGATGGAAAATATACAAAAGAAGTAAAACCATGAGCAATGCCAAGAGCTGACAGGATCAGTAGGTGGAATTACAGTAAGTACCCATAAATCTTAGAACTATGAAGTATAATCCGTATGTCCTTGCAAGAAGAAGTTCAACATAATTAATTACATTTCCTCCTCACCTTCACGGCTCCGGGCCATTATTATTAGTTGGCAGATTACATTCACCATTTCTTGAAGTAGGGCAGGACACTTTTTAAGTATAAACTGCTGATCTGCAAAACAATCAAAAACCTGAAACAAATCATTCCGCTTTTATACTTAAAGTATCTTTATCACCTTAACCCAAGACTACAAAATTTACAGATTGAACAGAACTTCTCCTCAGCATCATTATCACAAAAACCAGTCAGAAAACCCTAGATTAGATTTGAGGTTTCAAAGGCAAATTTTTAATACTGTGGTTTTGGGCTTAATAATAGTTCAACTTCTTATCTTTTTTTTGAAACAGTCTTAATCTTACTATCTATTTGAGAATTTTTAAGAATTTTATTCTTGGAAATGCAGAATAGAATTTCAAATTCCCAAGGAATCTAGAATTTCTAGAGCCATGATGGCTAGATAAATCCCCGCAACTACTGCCCTGAGATAATCTTTAAACCTTAAAGCAAAAATATCTCCCAAAGTCGCCTTAAAACCATAGAATAGTTTAGCTTAAGTATTAAAGAATGTCTGCCTTGAGAAATCAGGAAAACAATACCATTTATAATCAAAAAAACCAAACCCGTTGCCATCGAGTCGATTCTGACTCATGGCAACCCTACAGTAGAACTGCCTCCCATAGAGTTTCCAAACAGCATCTGGTGGATTCAAACTGCCGACCTTTTGGTTAGAAGCTGTAGCACTTAACCACTACACCACTAGGGTTTCCACCATTTATAATAGCCCCTAAAAAAATGCAGTACTTAGGAATAAATCTAACCAGGGATATTAAAAGACCTATACAAGAAAACTACAAAACACTACTGCAAGAAACGAAAAGAGACCTACATAAATGGAAAAATACACCATGCTCATGGATAGGTAGGCTGAACATTGTGAAAATGTCAATTCTACCCAAAGCAATCAACAAATACGATGCAATCCCGATCCAAATACCAACAGCATTCTTTAAAGAGATGGAAAAACTAACCATTAACTTTATATGGAAAGGAAAGAGGCCTCATATAAGTAAAGCACTATTGAAGAAGTAGTATAAAGTAGAAGGACTCACACTACCTGACCTCAGAACCTATACAGCTATGGTAGTCAAAACACCCTGTACTGGCACAACGACAGACACACACAATGACCAATGGAACAGAACTGAGAACCTAGATGTAAATCCATCCACCTAAGGTCACCTGATCTTCGACAAAGGCCCAAAGTCCATCAAATGAGGAAAAGACAGTCTTTTTAACGAATGGTGCTGGCAAAACTGGATGTTCACCTGCAAAAAAATGAAACAGTACCGATACCTCACACCATACACAAAAACTAATTCACAATGGATCAAACACCTAAATATAAAACCAAAAATTACAAAGATCCCAGCCGAAAATATAGGGTCAACTTTAGAGGTCCTAATACACGGCATTAAGAGGATACAAACCATAACTAACAATACACAAACACCAGAAGATAAGCTAGGTAACTAGGAATTTCCAAAAATTAAACATTGATGCTCATCAAAAGACTTCACCAAAAGAGTAAAAAGAGAACCTACAGACTGGGAAAAAAATTTGGCCTATCACAAATCTAACAAAGGCCTAAAATCTAAAATCTAAAGGAAAATCCAACACCTCTGAAACAAAAAGACAAATAATTCAATTAAAAAATGGGCAAAGGATACGAACAGACAACTCACCAAAGAAAACATTCAAGAGGCTAAAAGATACATGAGGAAATGCTCACAAACACCACCCATTAGAGAAATGCAAATCAAAACCACAAGGAGATACCATCTAACCCTGACATTACTGGCATGCAAAAAAAAAAAAAACCAAAAACCAGAAAATAACAAATGTTGGAGAGGCTGCAGGGAGACTGGAACTCTTACACACTGCTATTGGGAATGCAAAATGGTACAACCATTTTGGAAAACGATATGGTGCTTCCTTAAAAAGCTAGAAATAGAAATACCATATGATCCAGGCATCCCACTCCTAGGAATGTATCCTAGAGGAGTAAGAGCCATCACACGAATAGACATATGCACACCCATGTTCACTACAGCATTGTCCACAATAGCAAAAAGATGGAAAAAATCTAGGTGACCATCAACAGGTGAATGGATAAACAAACTATGGTACATATACACAATGGAATACTATGCAACAATAAAGAACAATGATGAATCTGTGAAGCATCTCACAACATGGATGAATCTGGAGGGCATTACACTGAGTGAAATAAGTCAATCACAAAACGAGAAATACTGTATGAGACCACTACTATAAAAACTCATGAAAAGGTTTACACACAAAAAGAAACAATCTTTGATGGTTATTGGAGGGGGGACACTAAATAGACGATAGATAAGTGGTAACTCTGATGAAGGGTAAGACAGTACACAATACTGGGGAAGTCAGCACAACTTGTCCAAGGTAAGGTCATGGAAGCTCCACAGACACATTCAAACTGCCTGAGGGACCAAATTACTGGGCTGAGGGCTGTGGGGACCATGGTCTTGGGGAACATCTAGCTCAACTGGCATAATATAGTTTATAAAGAAAATGTTCTACATTCTACTTTGGTGAGTAGCTTCTGGGGTCTTAAAAGCTTGTGAGCCGCCATCTAAG